AACAACAATCTAACGAAAGGTGTTAATGAAATAAGTTAATAAAAAAGTTTCTGAAGAGATTTCTCCTTTGATAATTGTATTTTTAAAATCTTTATTAAATTTTATTTAGAATTTCTCTAACTTGTATTTTCTTTTTCCAGAACTTTTGAGGCCATTGTTCAGTACTGCGATAGTTATAGAGAACTCATTCCCCTGTCCTTTGTCCTGGGTTTCTATGTATCCATTGTGATGACCCGCTGGTGGAACCAGTATACCTCCATTCCTTGGCCCGATCCCATTGCCGTGTTCGTCAGCTCCAATGTTCATGGCCAGGATGAGCGAGGACGTGTGATGCGACGAACAATTATGCGATATGTCTGTCTCTGCCTCACCATGGTTCTGGCCAATGTATCACCCAGGGTGAAAAAACGTTTTCCTGGACTCAGTAATCTCGTAGAGGCGGGTCTCCTCAATGACAACGAAAAGACTATCATAGAGGCGATGAACAAATCCTTTCCCAGACCCTCGAAGCACTGGTTGCCCATCGTCTGGGCTGCTAGCATCATCACCAGGGCCAGGAAAGAGGGACGCATCCGAGATGATTTCGCTGTGAAGACCATTATCGATGAGCTGAACAAGTTCCGGGGTCAGTGTGGACTTCTCATAAGCTACGACACGATTAGTGTCCCGCTTGTCTACACCCAGGTGGTGACCCTGGCAGTGTACTCCTACTTCCTGACCTGCTGCATGGGCCAGCAGTGGACCGATGGCAAGGTGGTGGGCAACACCACCTACCTCAACAAGGTGGATCTCTACTTTCCGGTGTTCACCACGCTGCAGTTCTTCTTCTACATGGGATGGCTCAAGGTGGCCGAGTCGCTGATTAATCCCTTTGGCGAGGATGATGATGATTTTGAGGTAGGTCCTGGATTAAGCAATGCTTTTAAATAATATTTAAATATTTATAAAATGTAAACAGGTCAACTGGATGGTGGATCGCAATCTGCAAGTCTCCTACCTGATCGTCGATGAGATGCACCACGACCATCCAGAGCTGCTGAAGGATCAGTACTGGGACGAGGTGTTCCCCAACGAGCTGCCCTACACAATCGCTGCCGAGCGGTTCCGTGAGAATCATCCGGAACCGTCCACCGCCAAGATCGAGGTGCCGAAGAATGCCGCCATGCCCTCGACCATGTCGTCTGTTCGCATCGATGAAATGGTTGGTAATGCTAATGGCGCCACTGCCGCCGCCGCTGCCGCTCCGGACACGAAGGTCCCGCTAGCGGGTGTGGGTCAAGTTCCCGGCCAGGCCTCTGGCCAGGTTCCGGTTCCGGGTTCGGATCAGCAGTCCGTTACCTATGACTTTCCCAAGGGCTCGCCAGACGAGGAGGTTAGAATCAGAACGTTGGCCGCATTTCCTAGCGTTACGAAGCATTGGCACCCGACTCTCAATTGGTTAACCAAAGTCATCATCTCTCAACCAGCGACCTAAACCAAGTTCAAAATTAATCCAAATTTAAATCAAAAGTTTCTAACCTCTTTTCTCGTTTGTACTTGAAAGAACATTGCATTTGTGGCATCACAGTTCGCTCATTGGCATTCTGAATCACAAACGGTGCTTGGTAGTTATAAAACTATAATTTAGATGTACAGAGTGTCTAAAAATATAAATATTCTATATATAAATGTAAGGAGCAGGCACAGTGGGAGCTCTATTTATCTTTGTTTTATTTTAAGTTTTATTATAAAAGTATTCCCTATTTTTAGACCTTTGTATATGTTACGCTCAACTGTTACCTTTGAGTGATAGATAATCCTTTTAACACAAACCTTTTCCATACTATAATTATATTATAATTATAAGGTAAAGGTATCTTGATAATTCTTCATTTTATTTTTTATTTTTATCTATTATTTATATAATTTAAAAGTTTAAAAACCTATTTAGGATCACTTTGATCATATTTCATTATATTTTCCTTTCGAGTAAACACTGTGCCTGTTGTCCTCCCTGTAACCATATATTAAGAACGGTGTTTGTGTCTCTCTATGCTTTAAGAATATGCCTACTAACTTTTGATTCTAACTGTCTAAAAGATCTGTCTACAGCCTCAAGCCTCTCTAACAGCACCTTGCACTGCACGACTTTCAAACGCTTTCTGCTGCACTGAACCTAGAGCACTGAATGGTTTCAAGAGTAATCCAAGCACAGCGGACTTAAAATTATAATCTTTAAAAAACTTGATAAATTTTAAGCTAATGTAAACATTTTTTAACCCAACTCAGGCCGACGATGCCAGTGGCATTCACTTCTCAGCTGGCAATGGAAAAATGCGTTTGGGCTCCTCGCCTTCGCTGGTTAGCGTTTCGGGCACCTTGTCTCGGGTTAACACAGTGGCTTCAGCTCTCAAGAGATTCCTGAGTCGCGATGATAGCAGGCCAGGATCGGCCACGCCCAGTGAGGACCAGAAACCCTACAAATTTCCAGCCAGCGCCAGTTCGGCAAGTCTTTCGGGAGTGGCTGGATCTGCCACATCGGCGGGTAAACCAGCTGGTAGCATGCGGATAACCCATCAAGTTATCGAGGAGGTGGATGAGCAGGCCACCATCACCTCGATGAGGGCCAATGAGCCGCGGCCCAATGTTATGGATATATTTGCATCATCCTCGGGAGCTGGAGCAGCGCCTTCAGGGCCATTGCAGCCACCGCCCGCTCACTCGGAACCGGTGGACATTCCGGCACGTCCGCCCAGCTACAATCGTGCCCAGTCCCAGTACGAGCCCACTCTGTTCCCGCCCGGTGGAGTGGATACCCTGCTGAGTACTTCGGCGCCTGCAGGAGGCAGTCCCTCGCTTCTATCCAATGCTGCAACGGCGCCCAGCTCGCCGGTGGGCGACAGCTCCAAGTCCCTGTACGATCCCCAGAAGGCGGCCAGCCGGGAGACGGGTAAGTTAATGGTTCCATTACGTTGGAATGCCCGCCCGCTTCTTAAGAAAAAACAAACAACTCATTTTTAACAATTGTGTATCTTCATTTTCAACAAATTTCGGGAACTTTTAAAGAGAGGCCCGATGCACCGCAGGTTTTCAGGTGGTTCGTCACGCCCGGTAAAGTTCACATCCATTGATTGGCCCTATTAACTTGTTCGAATACTTTAGCTTGCTCTACTACGTAATCGTTGCTGGTTATATTCCCCCTCTCGTTTCAATATTATTTTCATTTTCTATTTTTTTCAACAGGTGTGCTGGATTTTTCTCACATAGTTTAGAATTTTCTATTGTAAAGTTCAGTTGGTAAATGATTTATATAGCAAAAATAGGAAGCCTTTGTTTATATATTTACAGACTACTGTAATTATTTTCATTATGGTATATGATTTATAGTTAACCTTTCTCTTTAAATATCTGTTGCTTAATTTATGTAGATTTATTTATTATATTTTAGTTTATATATTATTATTTTTCCAGAAGTTAGCTTACTTATTTGTTTTTATACTATTTTGGCAAGTGAGAAACCTAAAGCACACCTGGTTTTATATATTAATTTTTAATTATTTTTCATTATTTTGTATTAGTAAACAATTGGCATGTGCTTACTGAAAGTGCTGCCCAAAGTTTAAAGTACTAACCCCGGCTTAGCGTTACATAAACTGAATAATTATGAACTACGTAAGACGAACCCAGTAAAGTTTTCTGGGTAGCCAAAAAAAAAACCCCCCGTAACTCCAAATTCATATTGGTTCCCCCCGCCTAGCATTTAGTCCCTTAGACGTTTGCACGTTGCGTATTTCCCCCATTGATTTTTCTTTTTATTTATAAAAACAATTCCTAATCTCATATTGTATGTGTTTGCAGTGGAAAATATGGATTTGAGGGCTTCAAACGATTTGCTAAACCAGGCCCAGGCGGCCGTGGAGCCCGAAGACGAGGGCGATGACTTCGAGAAGCTGAAGGCGGCCCGAGAGAAGGAGAAGCTGATGCGCCAGCAAAAGAATCTGGCTCGCACCATCAGCACCGCCCCAGGTGTAGAGGTGCCCATGATCCCAGTGGCCGTGGCAGTGCCTCCGGCAACAGTGCCGTCCGTTCCCTCCAGTGCCGATCTCCTGGGAGGCGGGGAACTGCTGCCCAGCTCCACCATGAAGTCGGAGGATGCCGTCAATGGCAGTTGAACACACCTAGTATTTTGATTCGTACCCTTCCCTAGGCTAAGTCTAGTGCATTATTTAATTGTTTAATTAATTAATTACCTAAGCTGCTAAGCTAATACCAATACCTATATATACCATATACGCAGAATATGTGTAACAACGGACAGTCTAAGATGAATGCTCATAACGTCTCAACGAGCTTGAGTGAGAAAGAAGGACCTAATTAACGCAGTTAATAACACAAATACTAAAATCTAAGTAGAAAGTTATTTAAATTTTACAAATATAAGTTCTTTTTTGTTAAATGGCTAAGTGACTTGGATTTGATTTCTCATGGCCTGGTTTTCCTGGATATTGTGATCATGATTTTATATTCTGGTCTAAAGAAACCGGCATTCTAAGGAACTTGTTTAGAAATTATAAATTTATTGTGACTAAATAAAGAATTGATGGCGTTAAGCAAAATATAAATGAAAATAAAACAAAAACTAAAAGGAATCTGGGGATGTATTTATTTTTCTTATATTTTATTTTAGTTGTAGAATTTTGATTTTAAAAATTTTATCTTATAAGTTTTTGCTTTTAATTAATTTTTTAGTTAAAGGAAAATTGTTTAAAAATTTAAAATGGGTCTCAAAATATTTCCTTGCATTTTAAAAACTTAAAAATTATTTGATAAATTAATAAATTAATAAATAAATTAATAAAATTAAAGAAGTAAAATATTATAATATCAAAATCATAAATAAAACTGTTTGTTAAGGAACTACCCCTTAGTGAACCGGAACCAGCGTTGACAGCCACCATCCCTGCTTGCTTCCGGCCTTCGCCAGCCCTGGTCTTCTTGCAAAAGCAGAGTTGTCCATCAAAACAAACCAAAAAGTGATTTTTTAAATGATTTTTAAACATGACGACGTGCCTCTCGGAAACAGAGGCCACCAACGTATTTATTTGGCAGCGATGGTGTCGCCTGTGCGCCAAGGATCATCCCCAGAACCGAAATGTGTACTCCCAGGCGGCTGAATCTCAGTCCTGGACGAATATGCTGGCCATGACCATAGGAAAATACTTTTGGGTTGATGTAATTATTATTTGTTTACAACATAAACTGTGCTCCAAGTAAACCAAACATTCCAGATCAAACAGGTGGATGAGCTGAGCAATCACCTGTGTGTTGAATGCTTCACCATGATGGAGAGCCTCATGGAATTCTCGGAGAGAGTGCGAAGAGTCCAAACGCTTTTCAACAGACTGCAGACGGCCACAAAACCGGGAGCTTCAGTGGACTATGAGGAACTGCGACAAGATTGCGGCTTGGTGGACAACGACTGGAAGCACTTGATGTCCCGGGACACAAAAAGGATTCCTCTAAAGGAAACAGTAGAAGAAATAGTGGAAGAAGTTCCAGGTGAAGATGCCTTTTTAGAGGGAACAGTAGAAATTATAGAGGAAGAGCTGCAAACTGTAGAGGAGGAGGTGGAGCTGCAGGAGGCCCCCGATTGCATAGAGGAAGTGAAGCACATACCCGAGGAGGAATTCGATGAGGAGTCTGAAATAATTGAGGAAAACTACAACATTGAAGCCTACGAAGAAACCGCACAAGAGCAAGAATCTCAGGAAATACTCCAAAAAACAGAACTCAAAGCTAAACTCAGCCAGGAGACACAGGAAGCAGATGAAGAAGAAAACTTCTCCACCGAGAATCTCGCAGAGGAAGACGACGAGCCCGCCATCTACAAGTGCAGCATCTGCAGCAAACCCTACAAGAAGCCAAAGGCTTATAAGCGACACATGCTGGAAGTGCACAACGTGATGCCCGCGGATCTGCCCAAGCTGGAGTGCAATCAATGCGGCATAGAGTTTCCCACAAACAGCCAACTCCACATCCACTATCGCTCTCATTTGCCCGCCAAACTCAAGGCGGACAACTCCTGTCCACACTGCGAGAAACGATTCACCACGCCGGGCACACTTAAGCGGCACATTGAGGGCGTTCACAAGGGCATCAAGCCCTTTGTGTGTGACCTCTGCGGCAAGGGCTTCAAGTACATCACAGGACTCAAGGATCACAAGCTGGTCCACACCGACGAGTGTCCCTTTGAGTGCCCCGACTGTCACAGACGCTTTAAGAATAAGGCGAGATTAAAGGTAAGTAAAGAAGTAACCTGAAAATGCTACTTTTCTGAATCAAATCCCAACCTTTTCCAGATCCATTCAGATACGCACAGTGCCAACATCTACAAGTGCAACATATGCGGCATGAAGCTCAAGACCCGGCGTACCTTTAACAAACACAAATTGGTACACTCAGACGAACGGCAGTATAAATGCGATGTCTGCGGTTCGTCCTTCAAGAGAAGCAAAACCTTGAAGGCGCATCTCATCCTGCATACAGGCATCCGGCCGTACAAGTGCAACTTTTGCGGCAGGGAATTCTCCAATGGCTCTAACTGCAGATCGCACAAGCGACAGGCACATCCCAAGGAGCTGGCCGAAGAGGAATCACGAGGGGTTTCACGCTCCACACTGCTGCCCATGCTGGAGGAACTGACCAAGGCGTAGGTTTAACAGATCCTTCTAAGAACTTAGATTAGATTAGTAAATCCTTTTTTCTTCACAGTTCCAAGCTCATAAAGACACCTGCCAAGCCCAGCAAAACGAAGGGCAGTGTGCCAAAAGCTTCGTCTAAAAAGTTTCCGTTAGCCACAGAATCTTCCACCAAGGACACCGAAGGCGCCATTCTCTATGAAATAGTCGAGGAGCTGGATTACCCCTAAGTATTTCAATAAAAAGACACTTTAGTTTACAAGTATTAATTCTTGGTTTATTCACAATTCAAGTTTATTTCTTAAGAATACATTTTGAGGGCTGAGTTTTGGAAATCTTAAATGCTCGAGTTAGGCAGCGGGTAGACGAAAAAACCAAATGAAACTTAGGCAAAACTATATCGAATACATAAATCACAAGGCAATCAACGAATTTCGAAAACCATATTCATAATAAATAACAAAGTTTTTTAACAATTGTCCCAAATAGACTTTGGAATGTATTCAAGAAACTAAGATGCTCTTTAAAGCGTTTAGTTTGGAATTAAAGATTTCCGACTTACAAAAAAATACGAGAAAAATCCGCTGGGCACACTTAACAAAGATCACATATTGGGGGGATGGACCACATACGATTACGTTTACATAGCTACAAGTTTGGTAAGATGGGTCGATTTATAAGGAAGCAAAAAATTGGAAAGAAAAGATACAAAATACAAGTTATCTATGATATTTGAGCAATATTTGGGAACTTTCATCTTAATTATTTAGTTATAAACACTGGAACAATATAAATTTTAATAGAAAGATAGAAAGTAATCATGAAGCCTCAGCAAATTCCTACACATTTAAATTTAAATCTGTGGGTTTCTTGATAAAATATACATTTTTTGTTTGAAAATTAGTTCGAGTATCCACGATTCTTTGCTAAAACCGACCCTATCGTATGCTGGGAGTATTATTACACTTAAGACCGACCTACATTTAGACAAGTTGAGCTTATATCTTACAGCTAAAATGTACAAATTTCACTAAATACACCGAGAGAGCGAAGCGAGTAAATCTGCACACTGTCTCCCCCGAGTGAGCCTAACTGAGCCCACGTTGCAGGAGCAGGAAAGCAGCTGCGCTGATTATTATGGCCACGGAACTGGACAACTCGCTGGCCGCTGCACAGGCGAGGCTATCGCGGGGATACTTGTTGAGCGGATCGGGCTCCTCGCCCGGTCGACACTGCTTGCCCTGGGCAGCAAACTGCGCACCGCAGAGCTCGTGGCAGGGCGGGCACATGATGGCGCCCTTGTGCAGCCACCCATTGGCAGCTATCCTAATAGACAGCTTTTGCCCAGGGAAGGAGCACTTGTAGCTGTAGTTGCCCACCAAGATGTGGAGTCTGCCATCGAAGCAGTCGTACTTGTAGCAGCCGCTGCCCCAGTGCTGCCACTCGCGGGTTTGGTGGCAAGAGCGCTCCTCCCACATGGATTCGCTATGGTCGAAGCACTTGGCGCCATCGCCGTAGCTCTCCAGAGCAAAGTTCTTCTCGGGCTCTGGAAAGGAAATTCAGGAAAGAGTTAGCAAAAGTAGTTCCAGTTTCTTAAGTTCACCTCTTACTTGGATTATTCTCTGTGAAACGACAGTGGGAGCCCCTTACTATCACGTTCTTGCTGCGCCAGGTAAACTCCTGTATATAAGGACAATGATCCGCCAGGGAGACAGATCCACCATAGAAGCCTTCCTCACCATCCTTTACATGATTCAGGCTGTCAAAGTTCTGGTAGCTCTTGGGCAGCTCGAACTCATGACGTATAAGATTGCACAAGGCCACCGAGTTGCGGTCATCGGTGCACTCGGTCTGTAGGGGATCCTGCTTGACCTTCGAGCAGAATGGATGTATAGAGCGTCCCCTTTAACAGATAAACATTATAAAATGTAGATTTCAACATAACAACACACTTTCTCTTGCTCACCTGGCATGATTCATCTGTATCCAGTCCTTGCAGCTGCGCATGGCAAACGCACAGCCCAGATTCCTGCCCCAGGTTAGCGGTGTGGCCATGGAATAGTTGGCCCTATACCAGCCAGAGTCCTCCATCAAAGCCAGGGTGATGCGCGAGAAAACCGGCGACTGTGTGTGAGTGCCAGTCATGGCCTCGTTCTCGAGTATGCGCTTCTCCCAGTGGGTCAGGGCAGTGCCCTCGCCACCCTGATCCTCTAGCTCGGCGCCCTCCAGCTTCTCGCAGCCAAAATGGGCACGAACCTCGGCCACCACGCGAGGCGTGACCATCATGTCCACCACCTTGTTGACATGGCCGCCACGCACAGACCAGTTCTCCCGCACCACCTTGCGAATGGTGTCGTTGCTCCACTGATGGATCTGTAATCTGAAAGGAGATAGAATTAATTTCAGGTAAAATATTCCATCAAAAAGGCTTCTCTCACTTTTCATTCAGGTACGGTTTGCCTGTATCCGACTTTCTGGGCGTCCGGGGCTTGCCTTCATCATCCCTGAAAAAGGCGTACAGGCTAACGGAGAAGCCCAAGGCATGAAGAATCTCATGCTTGACGGTGGAGATCAGAGTCTGCAGCTCCTGCGGCTTGGTGCTTATGCTCTCCGGACACAGATTGGCATGTCCTGCAATTGGACGATCCAGTGCCGCCTCCTGTTGACAATGGGCCGCATAGGCCACCGTCAGGCCCTTGAAGCAACGCTGCGTCTGCCTGGCGGATACATAGAACACGAAATCTGCGTTCTCTATACCATCTCCAGGCTGCGTATTGCTATCGATCCTGCAGTTCTGACCAGTGGCATTGCAGACGCGACAGACCTAAACAAATTTTGAGTAAAAGAATAAAGAAAATATTATGTTATTCCTATTAAAACTATATTTTTTCAAGTGTCTTGTAGGCCACCAAATATACCACAAGTAAGTGTGGCAATTGCTCTCTTTTTTATGCTTAAACCCGTTTAAAACTCAACGAATAATTTATTTAAGCAGCAGGTATTTTGTTCAAGGTCTTTCTTGTAAATAATAGTTATTATAAATTGGTTGCCACAAGAGTTTTCCCCCAAGAATGTCTGCTCAATTATGTTGTGCATAGCAAATTTAAATATTAATTGGGGTTCTGGGGACACCTGGGCCGGGGATACTTACATCCAAGTGCTCGTTGGGAACCTGGACCTCGCCGCACATGGTCGTCGCCTTGCAGTGGTCGATGCAGTGGGTGTGGCCGTTCTTAACGTAAACCTGGGTGCTGTCGCATTTCCTGGAAACCGTAGCAGATTGCAAAACATATGAATAATTTAATACATTTTCGGTGTGCTGTTGTCTTTTGTGCAGGAACTCGAACCCAGAACCCACCTATTGAGGCGAATAACGCCCTTGGTCTCCCGCACCATGAGGGCCTGTTCCCAGAACTGCACGGCCTCCGGCAGCACGGTGTCCTGTAAAAGTGGGTGAACGGGTTAAATAAAATTCTTCAGCTCGGCTTCCAGGTATTATTAATGTCAACTCACATTTATTAAATTAAATTTCTCCTCTTCAAGTCTGCACAGCAGGTGGTTAGCCATGGAAAAAATAGGAAAATAGTTGTTTATTAATTCTGGGAATTTTCAGAGCAAAAGGATTGGTGTCAAAACATCTCAAAAGCATCTGTAGGAGGCATGTTTACTAAAGGTAAATTGCAAATTCCGGCAAAATCTGGCGAGCTGTGGCTTTGGTTTTTCATTTAAAAAGAAACCTTGGCAACTAAATTAATTTACGTGTTTTTTCTATTACTGTTTTCCGGTGTTTATAACTGGATTTATGGGTTTGCTTTATTACTTTGTTTGCGATTTATATGGTTTCTGAAAGATGAATTTTAAAACAGAGAAATATGTTGCTAAACATTACAAAGAACTTTAAGATAAAGTTTAAGCTTCAGTTTAAATCTGAATTCAACCGTAAATAAACAATTTTTAAGAGTTACATGAATGAATATGTGTTTTACGGGTGAATTTATGGGATGAATGCATGAGTTTACTTCGTTTTTCATGCTTGGATTCAGGGGTGAATAACATTTATGGGTTAATAATGGGCTTTCACAGCTAATTTGCATTAACAATTAATTCAGGGCGTTAACAAAAATACAGATAGCAAGCTTTCTTTTCTTTTACAAAGACTTCAGCTCTTTTTATATTAACAAAAACCCAAAAATCCTTTGAATTTACTCCTTAACAAGAAATGAAACTATCTTTAGGAAGCCGAAATTTTTCAGAAATTTTCGAAGTAACCCCTTATACTCTGCTGAAATGACTCCTTCACTGCTTTCAAAAGTATAAAAACTAATATTCCACATTTATAAAAATGTCTTAACCAATGTTAACCTTAAACTCATAATCCAATTACGAAGGCAAAGTAAGGAAGTAAAATCTCTTAACAAATTTGGCTTACAACTTTACACATCATTGTCACTAGATATTTGTTAACAACTGTCCACTTCGCGTAGCAGCTAATTGTGGGCCTGTTAGCACCTGTTTGAGTCACTTATTTGCGGCTGAATTATTCATCGCAACGAAACGATACTGAAACCCAAAATTAAAGCCAAGTGTAGCCAAGTGTGTAGAGTCAACTCTACGCTTTCCTGCTGACCTTGCCCGCTGCCAATCGATCGCGTGGATCGAGCGGATTCCGGAGCTCAACCACTGGCCATGTGAACGAAGCAATCGGTGGGGCTGGAACTTGGTCTGGGGACTGGGACTGTGACTGGGGATAACCTTAGGAGACACCTCGGCCCACTGTGTTGGTTTTTTTTTTATTGGGACAAATTGCGCACAAATACACCGCGCACACCTCAAACCAATTTTGGACCCAAAAGTGTTGTTACTCAACGACAGAGCGGCGGTAACGGTGCATGGCCAAATGGCCAAAACGGTTCGGAGAGTGAGCTGTTTCTCGCTTGTGCGCGGCTTTATGTTAACTTGACATTCGGCCAAGTCAAATTGTAAACTGTTTTTCTGTCTGCTTGGCTGGCTGCCATTAAAGTGCAATTAAAGCCAATTTTTTGTCGAGCTAGAGCAGGGATTTACACTAAGAAAAACTGGGAAATAGTAGTTACCTTATCTGTGGCTTAAAATATTTTATGTTGTAGCCTTTTAAAAGGGCATCTGCCCTTGCCTGGGTTTTGTTTATTATAAATTAATTTTAATATATTTTAGAACTTATTTAATTTACTTTTCAGAGTGTTTATATGTCTGACTACAACTGTAATTCCACTCACCTGTAAACGGAATCGTCGTACACCAGGAGAATGCGCAGCGGCTGCTCGGCGGCAACGCTGCGCCGGCGCACGCTATGCCTGGCTGAGTCCGTATCTCCAGCGACGGCGTCATCATCGCCATCAGCCAGTTGGATGCGCACGCCATGGACGACCTATAAAACGGAAGATGGCCAGATGATGAGATATTTATAGTAGATAGTTAAGGCAAGGCAAGGAAAGGCTAAGGAAAGGGAGAGTGTGAGCGGTGTAGAAATCAAGAAATCACTCAGCGGAGCTTAAACGAAAGCGAAATTGTTCGTTGTTAACTATTAAATGACGACATCTAGTCAGACAAAGGCCACACAAAAAGTAACATAAAAAGGCAGCTACACGACGGTAATTGGTCCGTACAAATTGCAGGGAAATTAATTTTAAATTGCCCCCCAAAATGTCGAACGATTGGCACATCCAAATGTCAATGATTTGCGCGGCCCAAGCTTATTATTTTGTTTTATTTTTTTGGGGGGTTTTTGGGTTTTAATTCAACCCATTGTTTTGTGCCTCGCATTGTGCAATGTGTGCCAATTATTAGGAATAAATTAGATGTCTTCGTTGAATATGCATGGCGGCCTTTGGGATGCTGCACAGATAGATAGATAGCTGATCTGATGACAGTCAGACAGACAGACGACAGAGAGACTGAGCACTTGACACTCATCAGCATAAATTTGTCATCGACGTCGCGACGTCTCAACATCTCGGAGATGATACGCTCAAGTGCGGATAAAATATGCTAAAAATATGCTGCCAAATACACTTATCAACTGTGTACATTAGAGGTTGTCTGTCCCGCCCCTTTTTAAGGACAGAAAATGGTCGTAAAAGGCTCTTTCCAGGGTTTGCAGTGCTGTCAAATTAGCTACTCAAATTGGTCAATTTTAAAGGCAGTAATTGCAGATAATTTCTGGGATATTTTGGATATCTTATTATAAGAAATATTCTGTCAATATATCTAAATACTTTATTTGATTGTTGCTTCTATTTAAGTCTAACTAACTTAAGCTTTTTTTTGCTGAATACCTAAAAGGGCAACACTGCTGGAAAGGTAATGGTCTTTCCATAAAAGCGAAAGCACAAGACAAGTATCTTTAGGGCTGAAAAAATAAACAGCAGCCATGAAAAGAGTGTACCTATGCTACATATATTTATATCAAAGGCCAGACAGCTTCGACAAAAGGCAATGGAAATGATAATAAAGCTAATTTGCACACAAGAACTGAATTGGCAGACAGCTTAGTCGCCTTAATTGATGGAGCACCACCATGTGTCCCTGCTTCGCCTCGAAGGCGATGTCGTGGGAAGTGGTTGTCGAGGTGTTCTCACTCTGTAACACTGCCGGCTAAATGGCAATTCAAGACACCTGCACGAACGAACCCGGTGTAAAAATTCCTATTTATCCAAGAACAACAATAGTTGTGGCAATCGCTTGATCTGACAAAAGAGTTTGGCATTGAAATGAGCTGAGCAAACAGCGGCGTGGCGGTGGTTCCAGTGCCACTCCAAGCCTCGAGATTTATCTTGAATCCCCATCATCAAAGTCATCGAAGCTCTAATGACTTGGGATCAGCACTGCACTGGGAAACAGTAACATGACATGACAATATCGATTTTTCATTTTCAAGACGTCATTGTTTACTTTTAAAACCATATTTGTCAAGTAAATTGATACCCAAAAATTATTTTGGGCTTACTAAAATAATATTGTAATTAAGAGGCTGAAGCTTAATTAAATTTGTGCCTGAAAAATTTAATTAAAAAACTTCAAAGCCTCTTGATCTTTGTTAAGATTAACCTCTTGTCATTAGGCTTCTTATCACGTGCTTGGCCAATGTGCCATATCATTTCCGAGATGTCATCCCCTCTGGGACAACGCCCAGCCAGTGCGATAAGTAATCTTAGCTCAGGCCATCAAAGAGTCGTATCTCCCTAAGCCGGCAATAATCGTGACAACGACCCTCGAAAAAAAACTGAATAAGCAACATAATGTACGATCTTCACATTGATCGTGCCCAACTTGGAGCAGCATGATCCCCCTTGGAGCATAGCCCGCCCCTCCTCTGCGGTCGAGTGCATTGAAAAAAGCGTTTGAAAAACCGCACAAATTACAAATCATCTGCGAAACGTTTGGCAGGTGAAAGATGATGACGCACAATGGTATTTAGACGGGCAGGCAGGCAGCTCGATGCGTTTGCTGTCATTGGCGGAGGATTGGTGTCTTATGGAGGAGGGGGATACTGTATGGCGGTGTCAATATCTCTGCGGCATTAATGCAACCCAAATGCATCGAGATGCGAACCGTTAAACACTGACTGCATTCATTAATGGACCCGATACTTTTACAATGGCCAACTCTGACATTTATGGCAGCATCATTAGTCACGAAAAATGCAGTTAATTGATTTTTTAATGACTTATTCGGTGGCTAAAAAAAAAATTTGGGACTTGGGGGATTTAATTATGAATAAACCAGGGAAACCTCCGAGATTTCGTAAGCCTAATTAAATTTAGCAACGCTTGCAATATACAAGATCTTGCAAGCTAAAAATAAAATCTATAAATATGTAAATTAAAAGTTTAATATAGATTCTAAATTATTTTGAATGATATAGAATCTATTTCTACCGTTTTAACTTTGATTTCAATATTTAAAAAATTGATACTGTTTGTTAAATGCTCGTGTCTTTTATAATTTGGACTATTAAAAACATATTTGGTACTCAACTAGCATGTCTCATCGTTTAAATATAAGCTAAAAATCGCAGTTTAAAACGGTAGAATGAACAGGTGGCAACGTTTTTACTTCTACCTGCGCTGTCTGAATAACATAGGTTATAACCATGTGGGTCTAAATGTAATATCATTGAGGAATTCAGAGTAAAAACCATACCGTTTCAAGGGTTCCTACAAATTCAATTCCCTGAGATGTGATCTCTATGCTCCCGGACTGGCTGACATCAAGCAGTGTCTCATCAAGGCCATCGATCGAAAGCACAATATGATAAACATTGAAGCTTTCTTAAATAAAAGCATTTCAGAGGTATTTTGAAAATCTAAAATAAACATTTTGTACATCTTTCCAAGTGTTAATATTGCATTTTGCAGTAAACTATTCATTTTAAAATAGTTAAACGAGAGAGCGGCGGTTGGCATCCGTTTATGTACGACATGACCGTGGACATTTGCAAATTCTTCAGGAACCCCAGGAAGTTCTTCGTTCCCAATTTTCTATATACGTTTTTAAAGCCATTCACAAATGTCAATCACACCTGTCCATATTTGGTGAGTCGCTCTGTGTTGTGAATTGCCTTTCGATAATAAATTATTTCATTGCCATTTTATTGAAGGCCGGCACTGAGATGCGTCTTTGGCAATGGACCCCAGACGAAGATGGAGTCTTGGCCAAACTGCCAGTGGATCATGGGCAATATGGTTTACACACCACTTGGTTCATCAACAAGAGCTCGGCAATGCAAATCAATGGTTCTGTTTTATTTTTCAAGTGACTCTTAAACTATATTATATTTTATGAATATTAAATCAGTTTAATTCAATTCAAAAAATGTCATTAATTGGGTTAATCATAATTAAAAAGCAATTACAAAGCCTTTAAAAGCAATTAGGGAACTGCACTGAAATATCTGACTTTGGGCTTACAGACCAACATTTCGATTTTAAGCGGAATGATGAGCAGGTCGCAGCGGATATATTTATATTTATTTTGGGTGAATACATTTGGCTTTAAACAAGTGAGTAAGCTTTCATAGAGTTTGAAGTTTTTTTTAAGAGAAAATGTGTAAAAGAAAAGTAGTCTGATGTGTCATTAAAATCAATTTCTTTGATTTATTGTTATATAAAATCAGAGCTGCCTTCAAATTCCAAATCAAAAATAAATAACCATTTATTATGTCATCACAAATTATAAACAATTAAAACGAAATTAACAAACTAAACTATCATGGATTACGAAGGCACCATATTTTAGTAATAAAGAAAGTCATGATCAGCTCGCTGGCTATATTTTTAAGTCTAGTTTGGCTGAATAACCATGTAGGAAAAATATCTAAAGAAAACAATTACATTTACGTTTAAAACTACCTTTCTCCCAAGGTCAACGGTTCATATAAATTTAATGCCCTGGTTTGTGATCTTCGTGCCCCGGAATTTGGCATCATCAAGCAGTGCAACATCAAGGCCATCGATCGAAAGCACAATATGATCAATATTGAAGCCATTTTAAATAAAACCATATCGGAGGTGATTAAAGATCAGTAAAAAACTATTTTCTTTATATAAAAACTAATCTGATTTCTAGTTTTCGATTCGTTTCATAATGGTTAAGCGGGAAAGTGGCGGCTGGCATCCATTTATGTACGACATGACTGTGGATATTTGCAAATTCTTTAGGAATCCCAGAAAGTTTTTTATTCCCAATTTGATATATTCATTTATGAAGTCTTTTACCAATGTCAATCACAGCTGCCCATATAAGGTATGTAGAGTATAGTATATTTATTATATAGTATATTAAATAATTTATTACATTTTTAGGCTGGCGCAGATTTGAGTCTTTTGCATTGGACCCCGGATGAAAACGGAGTTATAGCCAAGTTTCCGGTAGATCATGGACAATATGGCCTACAGACCACTTGGTACGTCAACAAAATTAGTGCGTTACAAATAAATGGCTCTGTTTTGTTTTTCAAGTGACTTTGGCTGTTGGAGTTCAGTATGCTTTAAATAAAATATTTTGATGAATATTATGTTAAATTTGAAAAAATAATATCTATGTTTAAATCATCATTTAAAATCAATTATAATTATAATTATTTAAAAGTAATCAGGGTACTGCTTTGAAATGGCTTACACTGGCCTTACTACAAACCAACATTTCGGTTTTAAACGGAAGGATGACTAGGTCGCAGCGGATATATTTATATTTATTTTGGTTAATTGCATTTGGCTTTATTCAAGTAAGTAAGCTTTCACAGAATAAATAAATAAAAATATTTATTTGATTTAAAAATTAATTATCAATAGCGAAATTAACAAACTGAACTATCACAAAATCTAGTAATAAAGAAAACCATTATCAGATCAGATCTGATAAATATTTACTTTTAAAAATCAAAACTAAGGATTAAAACTATATTTTTTTCCAGGTCAACGGTTCATACAAATTTAATGCCCTGGTTTGTGATCTTCGTGCCCCCGAATTGGGCATCATCAAGCAGTGCAACATCAAGGCAATAGATAGAAAGCACAATATGATCAATATTGAAGCTTTGTTTAATAAAACCATATCGGAGGTGATTGAAGATCAGTAAAAAACTATTTTCTTTATATAAAAACTAATCTGAATTCTAGTTTTCGATTCATTTCATAATGGTTAAGCGTGAAAGTGGCGGCTGGCATCCATTTATGTACAACATATCGATGGATATTTGCAAGTTCTTTAGGAATCCTAGGAAGTTTTTTATTCCCAATTTGATATATTCATTTATGAAGTCTTTTACCAATGTCAATCACAGCTGCCCATATAAGGTATGTAGAGTATAGTATATTTATTATATAGTATATTAAATAATTTATTACATTTTTAGGCTGGCGCTGATTTAAGTCTTTTGAATTGGACCCCGGATGAAGACGGAGTTATAGCCAAGTTTCCGGTAGATCATGGACAATATGGCCTACAGACCACTTGGTACATCAACAAAATTGTTGCAATAAAAATTAATGGCTCTGTTTTGTTTTTCAAGTGATTTACATACTATTTGCATTGATTCTTTAAACAAATTGAAATTAATAAAATAATAAAAGTGGGCACTGGGGTAAAATGTATTTTATTAAATATTTCTTATATCACATGAAAATATAAGCACACTCTTTTTTGTACATTAACCACAACAAAACCCTAAATTTCAAAGGCTCTATAAGGACTTTTAAACTAATTTTCAACTAAAAAGTAAAAGTTTAAATGAAAATTTGCATTTGGAGGAATCCAAAGAATAAATCCCCTATAACAATTGATGACATCACTGCCCTGGATGGACATGATCCAGTTTACCATATTTTTTGGCCACACTTTCTAACCATGCCGGCGGCATGCACATGGGCTGGCTTATTCAATCGCTGATAAGACGTAATGCCCAACCGGCTTGCATACTAACACAGATTCAAGCGGGGGCTAACAAATTTTTTTCGGTTTGTGGGCCACACATTCGAGCGTGTCCAGCGTTTTGGCCATGCGACTCACGTTTAAGGCAGAAACGGTAACAATTCGAAGAGGCCAAAACGCGAAAAAGCGCAAAACCGTCCAAAGAAAAGCGAGGAGGAGAAATGTTTTGCTGTTGGCCACAGTTGGTTGCGCCTGCGCCCGCCTGATCACTACCTCCCGTATTTACTTTTAAAGCAAACAAATAAGTGGTAGCAAAAAAAATAAGCGAAACTGTGCTGGCTATTTTGGCTTAAAAAATAAGTTAAAATCTTTGATAAAAATATTAAAAATTAGATGAAGGTAGCTTTTAAGCAAGGGTATTTAAGGGAAAAAACTTGTAAAATTCCTGCTTAAATTTATTTAAATTTTATTGTAAATAAAGCTGGTGTTATTTTCTCAAATAAGCTCAAACCTAGCTGAATTGGTAACACTTCAAGCCACGCATATTGACTGGTATTACGAAGTGCCAACGCGTTTGGCTTGGTTTGGTTCGGTTTGTCCAGTTGCGCATGCTAATTTGGGCGCGGGAATCGATCATCGACGGCGGTTGAGTAATTATTTACGAGTGTCTCTTGCTCGGAGGCAGTCACTCCATTCATTCCGTCCGTCAGTCGCATTTCTGCGTCTTCATGTCAGTCTTTTACACTCTCTTCCGCACAACAATGTTGCACAGAAAATAAAAAACATAATTAATTTATGGTTGGGAAAATTTCAAGTATAAAATCAAGATTGTAAAATCGGAAACAGACAGTTACAGAAAAAATATAAAATATGTTTATGATGATTTTGATTTGAAGGTAGAGTCATAATCAAAATACAAAATAATTAACACTATTTTGTACATTTTTTATTAGGATAATGAAGAAATAAATCGGGTTTGAATGTCAATAATTATTTTGAAAAACAAATCTGGTTATAATTCAAAACATATTTGATTTTCTGTTATTTTGATTCAATGACCTCATGAATATTTATAAGCTTTAAATCAAAACCAAAGCATTGCTGAATTTAAATTTGATAACACGATTAATTGATTTATATTCCTAAAATATATAATGATCCTATAATGTATAGGATCATTATATATTCATTTTCATCATTTATATTCCTAAAATATATAATGATCCTATAATTTATAGGATCAATTATATCAATTATATCAATTATATCAATTAATCGTGTTATCAAATTTAAATTCAGCAATGCTTTGGTTTTGATTTAAAGCTTATAAATATTCATGAGGTCATTGAATCAAAATAACAAAGGAATTTGCATGATGTTGTATTGTGTTGATATTAAATAATATAATCAGCCCTGTTTCTTTTTTGAATAACCTAATTTAAGATTAGCAAATAATGATTTCTTTGACCTTGACATTACAGTTTTGGTATAACCAGATTTTTAAAATATTAATAATCAATTTTTAAAAATTATATGCATACTGAAAGCATTGGCATAAGGCAGAAATATTTGCTTTAAATTTACATGATTTTAAAGAAATAAATACTATATAAATTCCCTCATATTTCAGTGTATTTTTTGAGTGCTTCCCAGCTGACTGTCACCTGCGTTCAACGCTCTCTTAAGTTCGGCAGATCAATCGAAGTCGCTGCTTTCAATCGAGCGTTTGCTTTGGGGCTTTCACTTTCCTTTGGGGCCGCCACTCTCACTCTTGGATTCTCTGGAGCCGCTCTGCTGCTCTTTTCAATCTCCTCTTTGCTCTTATTCATTATTATTTTTTGTATTTTTGTTGTAATATTTAGTGAGCCGGGTTTTGCCGATGGCTATTTTACATGCTGAGCCACTTTTGTAGAGCTTTATTGGCTCTCCATCTGTTTGTGACTCATCTGTTTGCTGAATACTGATTATTTTTACTCAATTCGTTCGTTACCTCACAGTTTGACCGCAAAATCAACGAAAAAAAGGAGGCTGTGTATATTACCTAATTGAAAATATGAACAACTGCAGCTAATCTGAGGCACTTGAGCAGCACTAGATCTAGCCCGGAATCAGGCCGGGATCAGCCGGAAAATCATGAGCTATTCAAGTGACACAATTTACGCCGCAAAACTCAGATGTATTCAATTGGCATGGTGGCAGTCTAGTAAATTGAATAATTGCATTAACTGGAACTAAAAGTGTCACAAATAGAGCTGGCAATAAAATGGTGAAATTCCAGCAATTTAATGTTTCGCTGGAAAATTCCCATTAATTTATTTTTAAATTATTTAATCTGTACCACAGAGTGAGTTTCTCAGTTAATAATAAATTATAAAGAAATAAAGTGAAGAAATGCTATTTTTAGTAAGAATAAAATGTTTTTAAATGATTGTGCATGAAGTCTTCTGATAAATGAATAAATTATAAGCTTATAAATGTTTAATTAAACGTTTAGGGAATTTCACAGAATTTATTATTACTAAACTAAACACCTTGTAAAATTCCTAGAATTCACACTTGCAGAAAATCCCTTAATGCAATTTAAGCCAGCCAAGCATCCCACGTGCCTTTCCATAAATAAATCATTAAAAATAGAAAAGCCAAGCTAAATAATTAATTTATTTGTATAAACAAGGGCTCATAATACACAAGTACATATGCTTTACTTCAGAGAGTAAGACAATGCCTAATTAGTTTGTAATTGAATTAAGACCCACACGTTCTGTTCAGGCCATTGAATTTGGAATCTGCAAGTGGCACGTTTTACTTCATGACAGTGAAATGTTATTCCAATTTGCAGTTGAAGATGCCAAAGATTGAAAACAAAAGCAGTGGTATGAACTAGGGGAGAATGAAACACTTTAAAAGTTTATAGCAAAATTTTAAAAATTATTTTAACAGTATAAATAATATTTCTCAGTTAACTTAATTGGAAAAAGAAACGTTTAGGCTTGATTTGTTAACTACCAAATTTATATAATAATACATAAAACCTATTACTATTAGGTACCTATCATTATCACCATAAATTTAGTCTTTAAAATAGTCTGCCTTATTTTTAAGCTATTGTTATTAAGGGCCAAAGATGATCCACTGTGCCAAGTACACAAGTCTTAAAGGGCTTATGCAAGGACCCCGCCCACTTCCACTTTAACCCATAAGCTCTTCCTGATGAAGACACTTGTTTGCTCTCTCGCTGGACTGGCTGCCTGGCCAGTTGCCGGACTTTTGTTTCAAAAGCGTTTCGTTTAATGGCCCTGAAGCGGCATTCGTCAGCCAGCCAACGTTGCGTTGCGTTGCGGCTCTCGGATAAACGTGTTTCCTCGAACTTGCAGCGGAGATAAATTCCAGATTTTTGCTAGCCGGCTGATATGTCTAGCCATTTGTCTATTTGCGGTGATTACCTCCGCTACGTAGTTGGCACTGGTGGGTAGCCATGGCAACTACTCTTACTTCGCATATTAGCTAGCTAGCTACCTGCTGCTGTTGCTTTCAGCATTTTTAATTGAATGGAAAGACTGAAGGCAGCTGCAACTGCTTTAGTTATGAACGAGCTGCTGGTCGTATTACTCACTTTCTAGTAATAAATGACACAGTAAACATTTACAAAGTGCCCGGCTTTTTGATTTAAGGGGGGATATACATGTAAACCAAACTTTTTTTGGGAATTTTTTTTTTTTGTTTAAAAAATAGTTTATTACTTAAAGAATATACTGTGTAAGTTTCATCATCGAATTCCAACTTTAAGTGCCTCAAATCAAGTATGAACGCAAGGTATACAAGTGTAAACGTGGGCGCATCAAAAACTTTAAACGTCTTTTTCTCAGCTTTAAATTCTTGCATTTCTACCTATGCTATGGACACGATTCACAAAAAACTACGTAACATATCGGAGTGAATCAAATTTTATTATGATCAGCATGAAATTATCTTCTATTTGAACCTACATGGTTGTTATAAAACTGAGTATTACTATTTTTTAAGAGGGTGGGAAGTGAAAACTGATCACCTCAAAATGGCATTTTTTCCTTCAAATTAAAATTTAATTTTTTTGTCTTGATTTATTTTTGGTTTTTTAGGTTCAAATAGAAGATACAGGTGTAATGAATAGAAAAAAATTTAGTTTACGGATTTTGGACAGGAATTACGAGCTCTATCGTGTCCATAGCACGGCAACTCAAAGCTCGAGGCGCTACGGCATATGTTCCATAACTCCGCCATTTTGTAAAATATTGTTTATAACTAATTTTTTTTATCATCTCTGATTCTACTTTTAACTATATCCAAAGTTTCACGACGATTGCTTGACTATTTCTTATAAAAAAAAATTCACGAAAAATGGCCAAATTTTGACCGCTTACATGTATATCCCCCCTTAAGAACATCACAAACTTAAATGATTTTCTTAAAATGAAAGTTTCCCTTTAAAAATTAGAGTTGCATTTAAATAAAGTTAGTTTTTTGTACAATTATAATAATTATAATGACCATCTAGGATTTCCCAAAACTCTGTTGTTGTTATTTATTGTTAAATTTTAATTGCTTAGTAGGAAACCCATGGTTGTTTTTAATTTAACTTTTTAATTGCTGATTCGTTCAATGGAAATTCAATACAATCGTGATGCTGCAATCAAATCGCTAAACATAAATCTAATATTTCAGGTAATTCTTTGAATGCCACAGCAGTGAAATCAAATTTTAAATTGTATGTAAATTAGCTTTTCGGAGGAATATCTGTACTTGACAGGCTGCAACTGAAGCTGCGTAACTGAAACTGCGTAATTCGCCAATTACACTTGCAATCCAATCAATGGGGTTGTCAGTCACAAAATTATCCACCTTCGCAATTTTTACTGAAGAAAAAAAAACCGGAAAATCCTCCGCCGATTCCCATTTCCCTTTTTCATTCCGAATTTTTCTTCCTTGCAAAGAAAAATGCTTCAAAGTCTTGTGAATGGCTTCTTTGTTGGCTCTGTCGCAACTTTTATATATATATTTTTTTTTTTTTTCTACCTAGCAACTTGTTTGTTCAAAGTTTTGTTCCTCAAGTTGATAAATATTTAATCGTGAGGAATGGATGGGGGGCTCAAATGCTGTGGCATGGATAGACGGCTATCCACTTAAAATGTAAATGGAAATACATGTTTGCAAAACAAATCGCTGATATGAATGCATTTGCATTTCGCGTAAAAGGTTCCCATCGGGTGGTTGCAGCCCCAGGGATTATGATTTGATTTGACTTGCCACTGAAGAACAATGATTTGAGACTATTGAAATGTTGCAATCGCCGAGGCATTGGTAAAGATATGAAGAAATCTATATTTATAAAAAAAAAAATAATCTAAAGAATATTACAATGATTGCAGTGCAAATGGTAATAATGATTATTTTTAGTGTAATTGGTTTAGCGATAATTTTTCACCAAAAACTAGTTGAAACAGCAAGGAAAATGAAATAGAACTGGCACTATCAGAAATTATTTCCTTATTACATCATAAAGCTATGAATAATAATAGTTCTATATAATTTCTATATAATTTTAGGTCATGTAATAAGGAAATAACTATAAAAAGTCTATACATTAATTACAAATTCTAATATGTAAGCCACCTGCTTGTTATTAACAATAAATTAAAACCAACCTTATTTTTCTCCTGAATTTTTTGGATTGGCCTTATTCCAACTTTTTAATTTGCCAATTTTTTGCTAGAACAAAACACCTTTAAACCTTTCATAGAAAATCCGCTTAACAGCAGGGAGCAAAAGCGTAATTAGAGTAAAAAATTAATTTACGCTTTTAAAAAGCTTGAACGAAAATCTGTTGTAATTTTAGAGTGCCCTTCAGTTGCGCGTTCATCTGATAAGTACAGTCTGTAAAGTTTTATATTATTTAAAAGTATGCAAACAATTTTGTATATAATAATTCTTACCAAATTGTTTCTTAATTTTCAATGCCGGACATCCCTACTTACGATTAGCACCCATTTAAAGCTATCAACAATTTCGGGGATCTCAACGAATTTCCTTTTGTTATTTTTAAGTGCCCTTTGGACCTGCGTTTATCCGCTTATCATCCGGTCAGTACAGTCCGCGACATCGCTGTCAGTCCCGGGGAACACGCACACAGGCAACGTGACAAATGATTCAATTCGGAGCTCTTTTTACACATTACTTTTTCGTTGCTTTCTTCAATTTATATAAGTCTAATTAGAATTGAGTGCCCCCGGCTTCAACTGGACCGGTATCTGCGGGGGATTTTAGAGGTTACCAGGGTGCAAATCGGTCACTGGACTCTGCCCACATTTATTTACTCATTTATCCCGTCTGTTTGCGACAGGATGAGTTCGAGGGAGGCGGGCGCAACAGAAATTTATCCTCGAAATGGAGACACAATCTGGCGGATTGTTTTCATGTCTCTGTTTTTGTTTTTGCATTTACAACAGTTTAAGTTACAGATAATTCAATTAATTACACGCCAGGCGACCTCGACAGCATCGTTAGCTATCGACAGACAGTCGCTGAATTAATTTTCCCCTGCCTCCCAGAGTTCACTTTTACTTGCGGAAGAAGGGGGAAAACCAAAGTGGTTACTCGCTAATTAAGACTCTCTGGCTGAACGCAGTTTATCCACGATTTTAAGGGCGTTTAATTATTCGTGAAGTAGGAGATAATGTACAATGTGTGCACCTTAAAAGGTTTTTAACTTTATTATTCTGTCTGAAAGAGCAAACAAATATTTAAAAAAAAACCCCATTGATTAAAAGAGTTTCCTAGTTCACAGAATACATCTCTAAAGGTGAAGAAATTATTTTTCCTCTGCGAAATAGTAACAAATTGAAAGTTAACCTAAGGATGACAAGTATCTGGTTTCCCAGAAACATAATTTTCCCCACATTTTCCAAGAAGAGAAATTAATCAAATTCTTACAATAACAAGTTTCCACAAGCAGTAACATCTCAAGGACAGAAAGTTTCTTGATTCTCCGAATTAAAAGTGTCCTGAAAGGAACGTTTATAAATTGAAAAACATTTTTCCTTCAACGAAAGTTGACTTTGTGGAAATTGTAACTACGCCGGGGAACAACTGTACCGCCACTCGGCAGTAATCATGTAAATTCCCCCCTTTTTTGCGCAATTGACTGCGACCTTTATTTGTGGCGACGCGCCAATTAAAATGCCGTTGATTGGAAAGCAGCAAGATGTAAGAAAAATCCCCCCCCGGCAAACCCGGCGAAAACACAAAACCAGTAATGTCAAGTAAGACAAAGTGAGAACGGAGCAACAAGTTGGCGGACAGTGTCTGACATTAAACCTTAACTAGACCAGTGTGTATCGTGGTGGCTGCAGGTGGAGGCGGTTTGGTAACCACTGGTTGCCAGTTGTCTGTTGCCTGTTGGCAGTTGCCTGTTACCAGGTAATACCCATCGGCAGCACAGCACCACCACCGACCGACCACATTGCATAGACTGAATCCGAGGCGGAATCTTGAATGCGCATATGATTATCCGGTGGAATTAGTCAATAAGCTGCGGTTGCCATTGCCTCGTTATTGTTTCTGTTTCTGATTCAATTTCAGTTTCCATTTCAGTTTCTGTTTCTTGCTTTTTCATGAGAACGGCAATTTCCAGTGCTCAGTGCCCTAATTCCGCCCTAATTAGGCCGTTCTACGTAAGCACCAATCAATTATAAATTTCCTGTGAAGCCAGGACCAATTAGGAGCTTTCTCTAATGAGCACAGAGGACACAAATACAGAAGGGACAAGGACCTGAAACCAAAAATTCCATCAGTTCTGACGCTGTACTAAAGTGTTGCTCCCAAAGATGGATTTTGTGTTGCTCTAACAGGTGTTTCTATGTGAGCCCAGAGGGTGTTTTACAAATAAAATCATGTTACATTTAATTAGGTGTATTTCCAGGGATATTTAGCTTAACTTTCTAATGGCCGAAGATGTACAGTCTAATATAAAATTAATATTAATCCATAAAACTGTTTTAAAATGTTTCCAACTTGCCAAAAAGAACTAAAGCTTTTTATTATCTGCATTTATACTCTCCGAAAATGTGCAAACTTAAATTTTACAACATTTAAAACAAATAATAAATTAAAATAAATTTCGAGCTAACCTTTTCAATAGTTAAATTAGCGAAACAAGTAAATAAAACAACTAAAATAAGTAAGAAAAGCCTTTCATCTCGTTACTTATTTATTATTTTCCTGAATGAAATGACGGCTAAAACTTGTAAACAAAAATCAATTTTCGGAAATAGTTGCTAAAATGCCCTTAAATTATTTTGTATATGTAAAAAGTTAAAGGATCTGATGTTTTCAGAATTTATTTTTAAAGCCACGTCAAAGCGTCTTTTTGCGACATTATTAAACTATTTAATGAAGCCTTGATGAATATTGAAACGCTTTTTGATAAAGATTTATATTCTCTTACTATATATTATATTTTCTGCCTTCTATTGAAAGTATATTTTAACATTTTGTGGCTTCAATGTTCGATGAAAGATGTAGGGTTTCAAGAACAAAGGCCATTCATAAAAATATAATAAAACACATTTCCGGCATTCCAAATCTTGATTGAATTTGCTGCGGTTAATCCCTTTATAAAAATCGATTTGCTGAAAATAGTTGCGGTTGCGATTGTGATTGCGATACATTTATATATTAATTTGCCAGGTGACTAAAGGTCTTGACATTTTGGCATCGCCATCTCTCCAGGTCCTGAAATAGCCTTTTCCCAGATTTGTTTTTGTTTGGCAATTCGTTTGTTGTTGTTGCCAAGCAACATACGTATATGGAACACATAAACTAACTGGAAACGTAGCAAGTAGAAGTCTTTATACTCTACTTTTTATATTTAAATAATTCATTTTTAAGGCAGATATGGGATATAATTGTAGAAATCTGTCGAAAGTTAAGGTTTTGAAGTGATTTTAAATATTTAAAAAATATTTTAAGGGGTTAAATATATTTTATAGGCTTCCCTAAACACTCATAAGCTAAATTCTCACTCTATTAGCTGTAATTAGATCTAAGAGACTAGATCGACTTGTCTGGTGATCCTGATCAATAAGCAAAAAGGGCATATTTATATATAAACACATTCACATCGTGCTGGATTCGTGCACTGATGGACTCCGGGACTCACCTCATGGGCCTTGGGATGCTGGTGCTGACAGTTGTGAGCGGTGGCCGAAACGACGAGCCAAAAGCAGATGCCAAGGGCCGCCAGGAATTTGGCCATGTTGAGCGGGGAAACCAACGCAGGTGGTGGTGGTGGGCTTTTGGCCATATTACGTTTGCTAATTACACGGTATAACAGAGCATGGTTATGAGTTTTTGCCAAAACAGATTGTTGGTACAGACGAAAAACTCTGATTTGTTTGTTTCTTTATTTCCAGTGGTACATTCTTTGTTTACTTTCGCGCTGTTTGCTCTTGTTTGCCTTTGTTTGCTTTGTCAATTAACTCGCGCGAAACCGGCTCGAATCCCTCTCACACACACACACAGGTACGCTCACACCAACACTCAGGCGGTGGACTACTTTTTGTTTGTTGCTGTTTCTATTTCTTTTTCGGGTGGGTGTGTCCGCCAATCTTAGCCCACGCCAAAGCCTACAACAACAACAACAACACAAGCGAACCCAAACATAAACACCAAACCCAAAACACCAATCGAAAACTGCAAGTATCGCGGGGTAAATGTCAAATTCTCATGAACTCATGAGTGCATTCTGGCAGGGATTGCGAGTCGCCGGCACGTTCACATCCTTTTCGACACAATGGACACCAAATATCCGGGATATTTGTGGGTTTTCATTCACAAAAACGATGCCGAAAACACTCGCGAATTAGGGGTGTGCGATGTGCGGCGATTGGGGAGGGGGGGTGGACAACAAACGGTGAAAAATAACGCAGATAACGCGGCGTCTTTGCTTTCGAACAATTTTTTTTTTCGAACTCGAATTTGTATCTTGCACCCGTATTTATAGGTTTAGATACAATCCGAAGAGAGCCGACGGATGCCGAATGCATCCGAAAGATAATCAGCTGACCTGAAGTTGCGCTGGCCAACACTAATTTCAGAGGATTGCGCGCTTTGCAACACGCAGCGATAGGTTTGCGATAGGTTTGCTTGAGTTTTCCAATACTTTTGACCGTTGTACACACTGCATTAATCGCAGCATATTTAAATTATATTGATAATTTTCACTATAGTTAAATATATTAAATTAAATAATTAAATAAAATATTTCTATTTAAAACAAGTTTTACGGACATTCTGAAATTTTAAAATGTGTAAAACCCACACATTGGTTAGGTTTCAGCTATTGAACAATTATAGATAATTATAAATAAAAAAACAAATTTTTTTAAGAAATGCCAAACATAAAGCAAATTTAAAATCATATTAAATAAGCCAAAAATGTTTATGAAACATTAACAAATGAATTATTTATTTAATACTATATTTTAGCTGAGCAAATTGTTTTTTTTTTTGGCAATTAGAGTTTCTTAAAACATAATTTCTTTCGCTTTTCTTACTTGAGTAAAAATTATGCATTTGTATTTAAAAACAAAATTAAAAGGAATAAGTTTAAAAATTCCGTTACTCGAATCTGGGCGACCAGAGGTTGTAGTATCAGATGTGATTAGCGTATCAGGTTTGGTTCGAATATCAGGTGTGGATTTTTTAGGTGATAATTTCAACAATTTGGTATTTTTTAGGGGAAGAGCCAGATTTTCATCTTGTTCCACCTTGTTTTGAAACTTGCACCAGAACCCGTTCGGACGTGTTGGCGCTTGCCCGTCGAAAATCGAAATCGAAACACAGCTGGCCAGAGCGACGCGGTGCTGCTGCTCTCTGTGTGCGTGTGACTTGTGCGTGTGTGTGTGCTGGCGTTTACAGCGATTGTGTTAAATAAATTGAATTAAAGGCCCCCGAAAATAAATGCAAAACTGGCCACGCTTTAAATTGAGTTTGTGCCCCACTATTAATGTATGCCAAGTGATAAGGGGGAGAGACGCCACGGAAATCTACGAAAAATTCCAATAGGAAGAGCCAACAAAAAGTTCTGCACAACACAGTGAGAGAGTGGGGCGGGCGAAAAGAGAGAGACGAGATAGCAAAACAGAACACAAAGCCGTTATAATATCAGCAGTTTCGGCACTATTTGTTGCTATTTGTTTATTGTTTATTAACGCGTGTGATTTTGTTGTTTTGATCGGCCGTCGTACAAGTTGTTGTTGTGATAACAACCGGTGTTTTTCGGTGCAACTCCCCCTCCCCCCGCCAAGCATCCTGTTTGTGTAAAGCGGGAAGAAAATATCTCTTGGAACACACAAAAAATGCAGCAGGAAGTGTGATGTCACCGCATTGGCCCCACGCTCCAGCAACAACAACATTAAGATCTACAATTATCAGCAACAAAAGCAAATATCGCCCCACAGCAACAGAAACAGCAACAGCAACAAGATGAAGATGCAGTTGCACTTTGTGCGTTTGTTGTTGCCACCGCTGCTGCTCCTGCTGCTGCTCAACACATGTTTGCAAAACATTCAGACGGCGGAAGCGTCAAAAGGTGAGTTTTGTGCAGGGAAAAACTATGCTTTTCCGGGGGAAAACTTCACTTTTTTAATTCAAGAAACTTTTGTGATTTACATTAGCACCCAACGAAGATGTAATTTGTTCTACCAACTTCTCGTAACAAACCCAAAAATGAGTTAAATTTTATAATAAATATTTATTATAAATGTTATTGTATTATGTTTTAAAATGTTTAGGTCTCAGATTAAGGTGAAAATTAAGTTTTTAAAGCTATTTTTACATTTGTTATAGTACAAAAAAGATTTATGACAGCAATAAAACTAAAACTAGTTCCCTATTATTTTTGTTATTAATAAATTCCCTATTTTGTGACAGATGGCAATCATTTTAGTGGTTCTTCAATTGGAAGCGATATCTAAAAACAAAAAAAAAATATAGCCAGATGCCAACACCAAACATTATCTGTAAATATGCATAATTATATTGGGATGTCCCCAGAGAATTCTAATAAAATGAGGGTTATTTTTTGTTTATGTAAATTCAGTTGATATGATTTTCCACATAGCGGCTAATAATGCTACTAAAAGTTTAACAAACTTAAATAATATTGTACATAAAGTACAATTAATTCAGGTATTTTGCTTTTTTTTCTGCTCACAATTTTAATTCTGGTTAGTTTTTTGCAACTTTAATCAAGTTTGTTGTCTAATCAAGTTCACTAAAACACCGACACACAAGTACCGTGGATAGAATAGAAAAAGCTCAGCACAAGAATGTGTTAACTTTATTTGGCCAGAATAGATAACACAATTTGGGCTAGGTGTTGGTCATATAAATTGTGAGAATCAGTTCGATAAACTACTACCGGTTAGTGATTCACTCGAAATGCTCTTAAAAGCTTTAACCATTAACTTTACATTATCTAAATGCTAATGGGGTTTCCCTGCAAGTTAATGATTTGTTTTAAAACGTGATACTGGGTAAATTGTAATTTAATAATATTTTAGCTTTCGTTAATAATTTCAGTGACATTGATTTATTTAAGTTTTATTGCAAGAGTCTTCAATTATTGTTAGAGACATTTTAGGCCAGCAATTATTCACTTTAGAAAAACACACTCAATTGTCTTTAATAATTACAAGGTAAAAACAATAACTAAAGATATTAGTTTTGTTGTAGAAATGTACTTTTACAATGACTCATAGGAAATTACTAAGCCGAAAGTTAGTGGCGAAATTGATTAGATGTCTTGATAAGTATAATAACGTTAAGTGTACCTTTTTCATTGATTAACTTAATAATTATATCTTAGATATTTCTAAAAATATTTCTAAAATAATTCTAAAATAAAAGGACTCATTTTGGCAACCTCAGACTAGAATGTTTTTCCTTAATAATTGATGTTATTTATTAATTACTCCCTTCAAGTAATAAATCCGTTTAAACTCGATTTTAAACCACAGTGCCCACTCCCATTGGCGGCCCCCTTTACACCCGTCTCGCATTTGTTAAACTCTCGCCCCGTCGTTGAACAACCTTGAAAAACCAGCTTCTCTATTTTGTTGATTTTGTCGAAGTGGCTGGCAGCTACTTCTACTACAACTCTGTTGTTGCAGGGCCTCGAATAGAGAGATTATGGATGGGCGACTGCGACATCTCCCTGGATTCCCACCTCAGCCCCTTGGCGGTGGCCACTTGGTTATCTGCAGAGTAGTTTTCGCTTTGTCTTGTCCATTTGCGGGGCGCCTGGCTATTGGCAGTTTGGGCGTTTGGTTTGGCTTATCTGACAGTGAGTGTTGTGGCTTTATCAAAATCTCACGTAGTGCCGAGATAGAGAGGCGCCCCTATGCAAATCCGTTGATTGCCTTCACTCACGTAGCGCTAACCAAACGCAAATGATTCGTTTGGCCCTTGCCGCCGACCAGAAAAAAGCGAAAAAATAACAACCGAAAAAGTGGCAAAAGTAAAAATCGATTTTAAATGCAGTGGCGTGCTTAACTTTTACTCTCATTGTGGCAGATTTATCCGGCACAGGTAAAAACTTTCTTCTTCGGCGTGTCTTGCCCCCACAAAAGGCCACTTTGTGGGTCTCAATTTGTTCCAACACTTCTTGTACTGTTCGCTCTTCTTTTCTTTTTTGTGCTGTTTAATGAATTTATTTTTTACGATTTTCATTGTCATCAATTCAAGCCCGAAAAGGTCAGCGCCTTAAGTGCACACTCCAACCCGAACTCGGTTCTGGCCAACTCTTCTTTTGGCAACTCGTTTCTTGTTCGCGGTTAGGCTGTTGCCATTGTTTGATTTTTTTTTTTGTGTTGCCAACTGCTGGCGTTTTCCTTCCTCTATATGTATTTGTAGCTTAACAATTTTTTTATGTCATTTGCGCAATTATATGGCCAAATAGCAACCTCAGTCAGTGGTCGAAACGGTTGAAAAGTAAGCGGCTAGGTGAGGTAACGCTCGTTACTCACAAATGAGTAGGAGGTTCGGTAGATAATTGTCAAACAAAAATATTGCAATTAACTATAGTTTTTGGCCACATAAAAGTGGGTATTATTTTTTGAAAGCCAGATAACGGAGAAATATAACTAGATTTACAAAATACCTTTACAATTATGGTTTTTAGGCACAATTCCTATTCTTATCATACAATATATAAGATTATTTGAATAAAATATGACAAAATAAATACATAAAGATACATCATACATAAAAATTCATGTATTTAAAAAAAAAAACTTCTTAACCTTCTTTATATTATAGAACAAAAATTAAGAGTTAAATTAGTGTTCTCATTTCCGGTATACTTCCACCTTCTCTGTGTCTTTCATTGACAATTTCCCTTCGTTTCATTAACCTTCTTGAGACAGCAAGAGTTTCTGCAAAAAAAAAAAAAACACGCCTTCAAAACAGAGTCAGAGACCAGTCCGTCTGTGTTTTCTTTATCACGCCCTTTGTTTACCCATGTGGCACTAAGTTGAGCAATTTACCATTAAACATTATCACAAACACAAGGTAAGACAGGAGAAGCATCATTAATATGCGGCATTGTTGCGGCCTTAAATGGGCTTGGCTAAGAGCGTGGGAGCCGGCTCAACTTGGCCAGAATGACACTCCATCAGAATGCAGTTGCCAGGCATTTTCTCTAGTCCAAGTTAGTAGCGTCAGCTCAAGTGGTCATCGGACTTAATTGAGCCTCAACTCAATTTACAGAATTTACAGAACCCACAGAAACCGAAATGAACTGAAGAAGCTCTTTTCAAGCTCTTCTTGATTGAGTCAGGTCAAAAGAATTTAAATGGAACGAGCTTCTGCTTCTCTATTTTATTTCTCTACATTTCTCTCTATAGTCTCTGATTCTCCAGTTCTCCACTCGTAACGGAAGCCTCTGAGCATGCATATATTAGTAGTCTTTCTCCTGGTCTCGGGGACTCTGAATTGAACGACATTTGCATAAATTGCGTCGCCTCATAGAACGTGTTTAGAGAGCTTGACAAAAGGGTATATAGACTCCAGGAAATCAACTTAAGAATGAAGGTGGAGGAGAGCCAACCCTCCAGCAATTAAGAAATAATAGATGAATGAGGCAAAATGTCAATATATCAAGTAGTTGAAAAGGAAGGCAACGCAAAATGCCGCGAAAGTTCCATTTAGGCCGCCACAAAAAGAAGGAAAAGTGGTTGATTTCGTTTCTTTATCTTGATAAACTCTATAAAAATAAATCGATATTATTTAAATTGATAGAATTTTCATGTTAAATATAAAGCAGCAGCAAAAAATGCATAGCTGAATTAAATATAGATTTATTATTTAATTTTTAAACGTTTTTTAACTCCTCATTTATCCTTCTATAATAAAAATTATATAATATAAACGGTTCATAGCTAAGCAAACTTGATTTTGCCCTTTCTTCCAGCTGAATAATTTAGATAGAAATCAATATAAATTGATTCGCCTTGAACTGAGAGGGTCATTATCATATAATTGTTGCAGAAAAAGGACACGTGCGCCGTGACAAAGTCCTGATTCACTTTTGACCTGGACACGTGCTCGGAATTCCCCTCGATTATGGGAAGTAATAATATTACTTTGGTGAGGGGTTGCATCCCCGTGCAGGTTACGTGTACCAAGCATTGCGGAGATTAAGCCTAAATTAAAGCCAGTTTAATTGCACCACAAAAGCCGTCGGAGGGTGGTGCACCAAATAACTTTTGTATTTGTATTTACACCACTCGCGAGACGAAAACTGAAACAAAAGTGCGCCGAGGGCAGCTCATGTTATTTATGACTCTATTTCCCTAGTTAAGCCAGGGTGAGTTCACCAGACAACCCCGGAAAAAGTATGTCCTTAATGCATTAGTCATCAAGTTGGGTGAGCCGAGGAGTAAGAGCAATCCAAAAGGGGCAGGGCACCCTGTACACTAAGGCAGTGGAAGAATGCCCCAAGAAAGCACTTGAACAACTTTGTTTATGCCAGCAGCCAAAGGAAATCACGTTTGTTTGCGGCAGCAGCAGCAGCAGCAATTTCCTCTAAACAAGCACCCAAACAAATAACAAAGAAATGCCAGCCGTGGGAGATGAAATGCATTTGAAGTACACCGAAAAAAGAAATATAGAGCATTTTAGAATATAAATAAATACAAATTTGATTTTTTAGAAATTTAAAACACAACAAATTAGCAAAGAGTTTCATGTTTTTAAGTGCTTAAATTAAATAAAAAATTGTTTGCTTTAAAATAATTTTAGAAATATTATATATTATATAAATATATATTAGACAATATAATAAATATTTTGAAATATAAAAATACCCTTATAGAATCTTGAAAAAAATATATTTTTGAGAAAGTAGTAGTTAGCCCTTATCAAATTCTAAAAATATTAAAATGCAATATATAAACATAGAGCTTTTAAATTTTCTCCATTAAATCTCAAGGCAAGCCCCTTTTTTCTCCCTGTGCATTCAGTCAGGCATCAATTGTGCCTGCTTTTGTTGTTGTTATCGCTTGTGCAATGCCAATGCAACGCTTGATT